TTTCAGAAATTTAAAACTTAATTAGACCTTGGTTAGTTCCTCTATAAGATCTAATTAATGGAGTTTGGTTTAGTAGTTGCAGAAGAGTGACAATTCTATAAAGTGTACCTAAAATGAGCACAGCTATATATAAAGTATGCTTTGAGGAAACTCCAAAGGACATAACCAACCATAAATACCTTCCCCACTTAGCTTTCTTGCTGCATAACAGATTACTTCAAATTTAGCAGCTTAAAACAACACCTATTTATTATCTCAGTTTCTATAAGTCAAAGTCTGGGCACAGCATAGCTGGGTTCTCTGCTGAGTCTTAACAAGGCCGAAATCAAGGTGTCAGAATGGCTGCATCACCTGGAGTTTAGGGTCCCCTTCCAAGTGCATTTGGGTTCTTGGCAGAACTTAGTTCCTTTCAGTTGTAGGACTGAGGTTCCCTTTTTCTTGCTGACTGTAGACTAGGGATCACTCTCAGAAGGCCACCATGGTTCTTTGCCATGTAGCCCTCTCACAACATGGCAACTCACTTCTTCAAAGCCAGCAGGAGAATCTCTTTCCCTAGTGTGCTGAGGTAGATTCTTATGTATATAATCACAATCATGGGGGTGATCTCCCATTACCTTCTCCGTATAAAGTAACCTAAATCACAGGAGCATCCCATCTATTCACAGGTTCTGCCCACACTCAGGGAGAGGAGGGAGTACAGGATGTGTCTACCAGAGGGGGAAATGTTGGGGACTGTCTCGGAGTTCTGCCCACCACACCAGCCATAATTCCAGAAATTCCCACCTTTAAATTTTCTTTGAGGACTTCTCAAGATATGGACATTTTAACTGATTTAAGCCATATTATCTAAAAATAACAACATGGCAGTCATGAAATGTAAGGCCAGAATGGAGCTTAGAAATCATAAACCCTTTATCGTTCTTAACCTCTTCATTTGCATGTGAAGGAAATGACTTGCTCAGTTCGCAGCTAATATGATGCAACATAGGCTGGAGACAGGCTCCCTGACTTCATACCACTGTTCTCTTTGGTACGGGGCACCTCCTGCTAGAAGGACCCAGGAAATGGCATAGGGGACTCAGTGCTTATGTGTGAGGGCAGAAATAGGGGAGATTCACAGTAAGAATGTGGGAGAGCACCCCCCAGGCAGCCACAGCATGAAGGCAGGAGGCAGGAATGTCACAAGGGTGTGTGGGGAAGAGGTTATGGGGGACAGAGTTCCCACTTTATCAGTTCTTTTAGTTGTGGGAGGCAAACCCCAGTGCTTCAGTTCAACATTTCATCTTGTAAAAACATTTACATGTGAAGAGGAGTGTTGGCCAGGATTCCATTCATTTAAGACGAAGTCATCCATTTTTAAAGTAAAATTATTCATGATGTAGATGGGGAAGCTCAAATTCTGAAAGAAATGTTTACTTCATGAGGCACTTTCTCGGTAGAGACCTGGTTTATTTCCCCAGATTTAAAGTCACTGAGCAATTCTAAAGATTTATTCTGACTTAACTACATTGCTCTGAATATATTGTGTTTTAGTAAAACGTTATGAGTGACCTAGGAGAGAGCGAGCTGCTTTAGAGATTCGTGATTGCCAGTGGGAGAGGGAGGAGGGTGAGGGTGGGGTAGCTGTCAAAACATCCACATAACTAGATAAGCAGGGACAAAAGCGCCAACATCACATCCTACAGAGAAAATGATCAGAGAGGAATTACAGCTGCTGGGGAAGTGCAGTGAGTTAGTATTTATTGCAAGCACTGCTTCTTTGGGGACTTCAAGGTTTACTACCCTTCAAAGCTTCTGAAGCTTTCATAAGACACTTAGGAATGGGAAGAGTATTTAGCCTTCATATAACTTCAGCAAATATGTCAGTTCTCACTTTGGCTGTCGGAGAGTCAGACAGTGTTGAAGCTGACAGCTGTGGACCACGAAGGAAGTAATCTTGTAAAGGGGGGGAAGGTCCTTCCTCCCAAAGATGGAGGTTAGAATAAAATAGGAATCGGTAAAATAAATAATGATGTTCCCTGTCAGTGAAATACTTTGCAGCTGCTAAAAAGGAACTGTTTGTGAACTGGTATGGAATTATTTCTATTTTATATTCATAAGCTATTTCTGGGGAAACTGGAGATACTGGTTGCCTCTGGATGACCAGGTGACAACTGGAGTGTAAGGTGGGAAGACTTTAATCCCTTTGTACCGTTTGAATTTTGAAACAGGAATGTATTAACTAATGAAAAATAACTTTTTTCAATTAAAAGAATGAAATTTTAAAGAGTCTAAGAGGGAAAACAAGTTAATATGGTAAATTGATCTCCAAACAAGACCTAGCTTTGTTACGAAAATTTCCTTGCAAGAAGACTTGACCAGCCCTCTAAAATCTATTCCGATGGCCCGTGTCCCCTCTCCCCACCCCCGCCCTGCCTCGAGCACCTCCTGTTCGGGCTCTAGCCAGGCCTTACCTCCCTTCCAGCTTTCGGGACTGTATTCAAGCCCATCCCCCGTCCCCACCCCACATCACCTGCTACCCCTGGAGCAGTCTGTCTCTTTAGTCCTTAGAATTCAGATCCCAAATGTACCTCCTACCCAATACAGGCCATCCCACTGTGACTCAGACGTGTCTGTTAGTATGTCTGACATTTCTCCTGTGTACTTCTCAGTCTTAATGGTGCGTATGATTTCCCCACTAAATTGTGATTGCCCACTTGATCTTGGTGTCAGCTGGAATCACTGACCACCTAATGGTGCTGGTGGAAATATTTGCCCTTTGTTGACAAAATGTAATGAGGCTTTTTAGTGAAGCCAGATACAATACTGGATGATGGCAGCAAGCCTTACTGTAAGTCAGTTTGTACTAGATTAAGCATGTAAGCCATTGAAGCATCATGTCACAGGGATGATGTTCTGAGGGTCAGAACATGACTGCAGGCTTCCTCCGTGGCATGTACAGTATTCAGGCGCCAGGACACCATCAGCTCTGGCAGACCTGGGCACACAGAGGGGGTCAACCTGCCTGTGGCTCCAACGCACCATGCAGACAGAAATTGTTATAATTGTCATTATTAGTACACTGTCTTGCCCTTGGCTTCTTAAATCGCTAGTTCTCCTAAATGCTACCTCTACCCCACCCCTAGATCAGGTTGAAATGTGTGTGTTGTGTTAGCCAGAGTATCTTGGAAGAAGATTAAAAAAGTACCCTTTACGTGAAAATCCTTCCCCGGCCCCGCACCTCCCCCAGAAGCCATCTAGGGATGGACTGAAGACACTGAGGCATCCGCATCACAAGGCTTCCCCGGCTGAAGCAGCAATGTCTCCCCTCATGTAACCTTGGCAGTCACAAGCCAGCTTTGACTCTCCCCACTGCAGTCCGGGAAGGCAGGGAAAATCACATGGCCACACAGCCAGCGACTGCCAGCCCAACTTGGCATGTCACCTTTCCAAACACCTTTGCATTGCGAGGAGACAGGCAGCTCCTAACTGGGCCATGCTGTCCGGAGCTGCATCGGAGGCAGCTGTGCGGAAAAGCTCCCAGGGCCGCCTTTATGTCATATGCTTTTCGCTGGGTTGCAGTTTAATAAACCTTTTAAATTGTCCCTGAAATTGTAAGTTACAAGGGAATGCTTATGTCTTCACTGTATAGATCTGTGGTCAAACTGTAATGCTGGCTCCTCACAACCCCAAGCTGTTCCTTCTCCTCACTAGCCCTGAGTATTTCCCAGTTTGGCTTTTCTTTCATCTGAGCTCTTTCTCTTGTTTAGGGTGATAGTCACTGAGGAGAATAGTATTGTTCACATAAGGGATCAAGTGGACGCAGTGTGTATAGGGAAAAGATCAGTGGGCTGGACGTCAGGAGACCTAGACTCTAGACCCAGCTGCTACCAGCTAGCTTTGTGACCCTGGGCAAGTACTTTAACTTCTCTGGATTTCACATTTCCTCTGAGATCTCTTCCAGGTCTAAGATTCTGTGATTCCATGTGGATGTTTGGGCCCTTGTCATGTCAGAACTCTCCTTTCTTCTGTTTGGCTAGTGTGATAAATAGATAATTTTATGTATTATAACTTCTGACATTATAGTCACACAAACTCAGCATGTGTTCCTCTCTGCTGTTGAATTGTCCAGTCATGGGCCATGCCAGAGAGTAAATTGGGAACCTGGCACAACTCACATTCTGCTTGGACTCTTCAAAAGACCAGATGGCACCATAGTTTTGAGCCAACCGAGCCCGCTGCTTCAGATTCTTCCCCATCTCATGTCCATCTATTATTCAGGCAGCTGGACCAGAGTTGTACAAAAAGATTACATAGGCCTGGGGAGCCTAGGTCTTCTCCAGGGTGATTCCACGCTCCATGTAGACATCTTTCGGATTAGAAACTAGAATTTCAGCCATCAGTCAAATTCCAGTACCAACAACTGGTCTGCATGGGGAAGTCGACATCTGCAGGGGGGAGGAGGGGAGTTCTGCTTACTGTGATTTAATTATAACTTAGTGATTGATTCAGGGATGTGGAAGCAAATATGAATGAGCCAACTCTCAGGACCAGCTGTCGAGCACTTGGCTTGTGATCTGCTGTCATCCCACTTGTCCCGAGCACTCCCAGCTTGCCAGCTCCCCAGCTCACCAGCTCGTTAAATGTTTGTTTCCGCCTCTGCTCTGACTCATATCCTAGGGGCCCGGGGTCTTGGACTGAGGAAGGGCACCCCCACTCGGCTACAGTGGTTTGAGTTACGATGACTTAGCAGCCCTGGTTTTTCCTCCTATAGTACAAATGGTGTTGGAGCCCTCCACACGAGATGGAAATTATCTGTAACTTCTGTCACAATGTGGCATCTGTAGTGAGGCATTCCTGCTGGTGGCCTCCAGAGGTCCCTGTTCCACAACCACTTAATACTACTTTCGTAAGTTTCCACTAACAGTTCTCAAGAGCTCTTGCTGACACCCTTGGATATTGTTTTAGTTAATGGTTTATTTAGAGGAAAGGGCCCATCTTCGTGGGGAGGAGGGGCACTCGGAACGTCAAGAGGAATTGGCAGTAGGCGCTCTGTCCTGAGCGAGGGAAGAACTGGGCAAGAGAAAAAGAGGATCCTTATCAGTTAAGGCAAGTGTGAGGTTGACGTGAAATGTGGAACAAAGGAACAGTTAACAAAAAGCGTACATGTTTATCTAATACACAAATACAGAAGTTTTGATCTACCTCTCAGAACACATTTCTGTAGCCACCGAGGTCAGTTCTGTGGGCGATCACAGCTTGAGAGCATCCAGTGTCCTCTGATCCGATTCAGCTTTCAGTGAGCAGTCTTCTGAAATGAATTTTGTTTCCTTAGTATATTTTCCAACTGAGAGGTATAATAACCAGCTGTTGCCATTTTAGTTCTCTAAATAGTTACTATTCTCATTACTGTTCTTGTAAATGCCCTTCTGATTTCTGCTCCTTCCCTGGGCAGTTTAGTTACCAGGAATCAGTTCTTCCTGGGCCAGCTGAGAAAATCAAGTGTCTAGACCTACGAGGCCACGTTTCTAAACCCTGGAACTTCTATAGTCGTGTAGGTGCCCCAGCTCCCCTTTCAGCAGTTAACCACATCTCATGAACACCCACCACAATAGTATTTTCTGCTTAAGTCTTTTATTTCCAGGGGATATTGATTCCTTCTTCACCCTAACTCACCCCTGGGAGGAAGGGCACTGTGAACAGTAACCCAAAGCTTCGGGAAAAGGGAACTGGATCTTCCCACCCTCCTGAGCAGCCTCGCGCCACTCAAGCCAGAGTCTTTGAACACTAAGGTGCAGCCCAGCTTGCGGCCAGTATTACCTTTCCTCTACCCTTTGCCATACAAGATCCTCAGCTATTTCTGTATACCCCCACCCCCAGAGTCTAGAAAACACCAATACACTGTTTTCTGCACCACTAAACCACCTCAGCAATTATCTTGAATGAGAAATTTAAATCAAATTAAATCTAAAGAGATCAAGCTACTCCTTCAGGTTCACACTGAATGTTGGTGGTGGAGCCAGGACTGGAGCTCAGGTCTGTGACTTCAAGCCCAGTTTCCCTCCTGCATCGCCTTGCGCCTCTGCATGGTTCTGGCATTTATATCGCTAACCTTGGGGGCACTGAATAAATGGAGGTGACAGGTGAAGCGAAAGAGCAAATGTAGAATAAATGACAAGAAAGAACTGAAGTTACAGGAATTAAGTAAGCAGAAAGGCACACTGACTCCAGTTTAAGTTCTCATTGCTTCTGGGTAGAAATTAATCCTTCTGTCTCCTCCGAGTTGTACCTCTTAAGAGTGTGTCTAGAAGCAATAGCATAATTTGTAATTTTATATACAGGGTGTCCCAAAAAATGTATACACACTCTGAATAATTATTAATTCTAATGGGTTAAATCTGAAAAAGAAACATCAGTTGAGCTGTTACGTGTGTATATATAAAATTTATAGATGTAGGTAGATCACGGTAAACGGGAGGAAAGGCAGTGGAAATCGCCTAGTCCTTCCTGGCTTATTTTGCGTGAGGACCCACTTCTCACATGATTGCTAGTGTTTAACAGTAAATGTCAGAAAATGAGAAAATGTCAAGAGAGAAGAGATTTTCTGCTGAGGTCGGGAAGAGACAGACAAAAAAGCCTGCATCCTGAACTAGGGAGACGGTGGGGAGGGGGAGGCCTGCTGCTCACCCCAAGGGGCAGAGTTAGGAGGACAGGCTGGTGGGGCGCAGGTAGGGGGAGGGGCAAGGAGCTCGTCCCTGGTCCCTGCAGGGGCTTCGCTGCCCGTCAGCAACCGCAACCCAAGGGCGAAGGGCGAAGGGCGAAGGGCGAAGCCTCGTTGTCCTGAGAGGCGCCTCCTGCTCCCGCCCCCTGCTCCTTTTGCTGCCTGGGGGTTCCCTTACTTTTGGTTTTCATGTTCTTTCCAGTGGGTTAGGGATTAAAAACCAAAATACCCTTTTCTTAAATATGACTTAAATACAGTTGAAAACTCTTCATTGTGACAGCAGTTTTATCCCTCCGCGCACCACCACCGTGTAGAGAGCAAAAGGCAAGCGCGTGCGCTGCGCTGATTCCGCGTCTTTCCTTCTTCCTCAGCGACCATGCAGCAGGTGGCCAGGACCGTGGCGAAAGTGGAACTGTCGGACCACGTGTGCGACGTGGTGTTCGCGCTCTTCGACTGCGATGGTGAGCGGGGCCCCGAGTCAGGCGGGAGACCCAGCCTGCCGCGCTGGCGGCGGCCCTTTCGGTGGCGCCCCGCCCCCCCAGCCTGCCCCCGCCCCGCATCGGCGCGCAGCCCTCAGCGTCAGGATCTGAGACATGCCACCGGGGCCCGACTCGTGTTTTCCATTTCTTTCCGTAATTCCAAATTGCTTCTAGGTCTAAATTAATGCCTGACCATAAGGACCTTAAAAATGGAAACAATTCAACTATGGCAGTGTTTTAAAAGTTAAATAAACTCAAATATAAAAGCTTAAAAAAATAGAAGCAAGAATATGGGCCCCAGCTTGCTGCTTAGTAGACTGGGAGCCCTCGAGGGCCTGGATGTGCCGGGGAAGAAGGCGCCGCGCCGCCTGCACCTCCCAGGGCCCGCCGCCTCGGCACACTCCGCCCGGGCTGCTCCGCGCTCGCGTCGTCTCCCAGCCCCGTGGGCTGCCGTGACGCTGACGCCCATGTCCACGCTTTTCGGTGCTCACTGCCGAGCGGCTCACTTAGTCCTCCGGCCCCGGAGTTGTTCTTAACCACATTTACAGATCAGGAAGCTGGGACTCGGGGTCGCAACGGTAGCAGTGGGTGGCACAGCCAGGATTCGAGGCCACGCTGTGCTGCCTGCCTGCCTCTGTGCCCTGTCGCCCCATTGCCTGCCCACCGTCAGGGCTCCTCGCTCATCTTCCCCCCGAGCGAGGCGAATGGAGTTCAAGGAGCAGCTCAAAAGCTGCTGCCCGCAGGGAACCTTCCGGCCTGGGCCCAGCATGATGTGTCACTCTGGGTCTGTCCTTCCTTAACTTGGTTCAGTTTGTCCACATTACTGCACGTTACACTCTGTCTGGCCCAACTTCCCTACTAAACTGTGAGCTTTTTAAAGAGTAGTTACAAGTCCTCTTCACCTTTGGACAACCCCCCCACCCCCACATAGGACCTCCGATAGTACTTTGCACATAACAGGTGTTTATTAACTTAAGGTACTTGTTATTAAGTTAAGCTCGAGTTATTTAAATCTGCCACCTGCACCCACAACTGAGGTCTGCATGAAAGGCAGCCCCACAGCTAGGACAAGGAAATGGCCCGCCCTCGGGTAGCAGTGGCTTGTTTGCTAGGCTGCCCCATCCAGTGTGATACCACTAGTTTCATGTGGCTATTTAAATTAAAATAAATTAAAATTAAATACACTTTAAAACTCAGTTCTTTGGTCCCTTTAGCCACATTTTAAGTGCTCAGTAACCGCAGGTGCCTCAATAGCACAGACTGAACAAGCATTTCCCTCATAGGAGAGGTTCTGAGGAAGAGCACTGCTGTAGAGAGGTTAATGTTCCCCTGACTTTTTTTTATGATTTTTGTTTTAGAGAGAGGAAGAGAGAGAGAAACAGAAACATCAGCGTGGGAAGCAAACATTGACCGGTTGCCTCACACAGGCATCCTGACCTGGGATCAAACCCCCACCTTTTCATGTATGGACAAGGCTCCAGCTGACAGCCACGCTGGCCAGGGCCCATCCCCAGATATTCTTACTCTAATCACATTTAGGTGGTTTTAGTTTTTTGAAAAAACATTTATTTTTATAATTTTTGAAGCCAGTATCTTAGAGCTGGTCTGTGAATATGGGAATAAAGGCAGCCACCCTCACAGTTCTGTTCTCCTAGGAGGGCCTGGGAAATTACTTTTGATTTTCTAGCGTTTTAGAAGCAGGCTCTGTCAATATCTACTTGAATCACCTTTAGAAAATCATTTAACACCTCCAGGGCTTACTTCCTTAATCTACAGAATAAGAAAGTATATATTAAATTAGAAAGCTGTTATTGTTACAAATTGGTAATTACAAAATAGTCATGGGGAGGTATTGTGTAGCACAGGGAATGCAGTCAATAATATTGTAATAACTATGTGTAGTGCCAGGTGGGCACTAGAATTATCGAGGGATCACTTCGTAAATTATGTAATTGTCTAACCACTATGCATACCCCCAAAACTAATATAAAACCACCACTGAGCCACGCCCAGCCGGGCAAAGCCATTGTTATTTCTACCAGTGCAAGGTCTTAGGTCAGTGTCAGAGGACAGAGGATTTGTTCGGCACAGAATTTAGTTACACTCATAGGTCACACATGCACCCAGATGACACTCAGTCATACACCTGGTTCAGAGGTAACAGCCATCCAGACTGGTCGGCTCCAGCCTCAGGGAAGCAGGAAATAAATCCCACAGTAGTTTGAATGAAATGGCATCAGATTTTTTCATCTAAAGGTTCTTTTTATATACAAAATATTAAGAATCTTGTCTAGACATTTTTGTCCTTTTAATTACATTCTTAGTAAGCCATATTATTGATAGCTTCAGCCCAGCCAGGCTACTTTGAAATTTTTTATATTGAAGTATAATATACATACAGAAAAGTGCAAATATCATAAGTGTACAGACTGATGAATTTTTTAAAACTGAACATACCTGTGTAATCACCATTATCCAGAAACATCACATTACCTGGACCACAGAGGCCCCCTGGCGCTGCCTTCTGGTCACTTCCACTCCCAAGGGTGGCCACTTTCCTGACTTCAGTACATGGTTTTGTTTGTTTAATCTTGCTGTGAGTTATCTCTGAGGCGGCCCATGCTCTCTTCAGCCAAAAAATGTGGACCAGTTTAGGTTTTCAGGTACTCTCTACAAAATTAAACCATTTATTCCCTCTTTCCACTCTCTTCCCAGACTGACCATTAGTAGAGAGGTCTGTTTGCTGGTGTCCTGTTGCCTTGTCACCACCAGTAATGGCTGCCGTTCTTTCAATCAGCAGACATTTAGTCCTGGGCATCTAGTCAAAGGGTGACTGCTTTCTACTATTGCAGTCGTTACTGTTCCATGTGACTTGAGAGGTGCTATTCAAGTTCTTTTCCAGACCTGAGAGTCTGTCACAGAAGAGGGTGGAATGGGAATCCTTGAGAAAATGGGCTCAATCCAAAGCCAGATTGTAGTTCTGATTTTCACCGTGAAAAGCCCTCATCTCTCACCTGGACTATTGTAACAGTGTCCCAACTGGCTCCCATACTCCACTTGTGCCACTCTCTGGTCCCTTCCCCATATATCCAGCCAAAGAAATCTATCCAAATGGGAATCTAACTACACTTCACCCCCTGCTTGCCGCCCTTTCCTGGCGCTCCACCACCTAGAAGGTGAAGTGCAAACCCTTTAACGGAAACTGTCTCCCGCCTCCTTAGTTTACTGGCCATGCTCCCCCAGCTCTGTGGTCCAGCAGCACCTACTCTAGTTGTCCGTCAGCCGCGCTGCTCCCGGCTCTGCCTGGAACACCTTCCATCTCACTCTCCTTTACTTGGCCAGGTCCTGTTCATCCTCTGGGATTCAACTTAAGAGTCAGCTCCAGGACGGCTTTATTGGAGCTGTGCCACCTCCAGCTCGGGTTAGACATCCTTCCTCTGCGCCCCAATAGCATCCTTTGTTTACCCCATTATGGCATTTACCACACTGTTGAGATAACGCATTTGTCTCTCCCACAACCTGGGAATATTTTCAGGGGACAAAGTCTTACCTCTTTATCCACAACACCTAGCACAGGACCTGACAAATATATTCTCATTTAACTTTTGTCACACTAAACTGTCCCAGTTGCATGCAGCCGGAAACATGCAGAGCAAGCCAGTTCATTTAGGTCAAGAGAACTGAATTTGGTGGGAGAGCGGGGCTTACACCCCACATTGTGTGAACAACGGAATTTTCTGTCTTTGTTCCAAGGCCCCCGCTGATCCTGTGTTTGCCTCTTCCTCTAGGCAATGGGGAGCTGAGCAATAAAGAGTTTGTTTCCATCATGAAGCAACGGCTGATGAGAGGCCTGGAGAAGCCGAAAGACATGGGCTTCACCCGCCTCATGCAGGCCATGTGGAAATGTGCACAGGATACTGCCTGGGACTTCGCTTTGCCCAAACAGTAACCCAGAACAGCAAGAGGGGTCACCTTCTCCACCCCACCACCCTGCTGCTGGAGCGGAGCCTTGGCACAGCCCTTCCCGCTGCTGCTTCTGGAAGCAGTGACCCTTCCTTTGAGGAATGACTTCAGATTCAGCCAGTTTCCCTCTCCATCCTTCCCGTCCCGTGTTCTGCTGGGCTCTGATTCTGCCCAGTGACTGTCCCCATAGGTTCTCAAAAACATGAGGAAGTCCTACACACTCAGACTGTTGGCACCTCCAACAGCACCAGCACTTCAGCACCCTGTGGATGAAGATTACCCACCAACCCTGGGGAACACCCAGTTCTCGACTCCTTTTTGCTGTGGATTTATATTAACAAGAACATTCCTTGCTTTTTCTCCTGCTGGTGCTTTGAAGCTCCAAATTGGGAAACCTCTGGCAGGCAAAAGGAAGTCTGTGATGAAGGACAGTGAGGATGACTGGCCCGCCCTGAGCTGGCAGGAAGCCTGGGCCAGAGGAAGGGTCTGTCGGTCCCCGGCGTGGCTCTGAGGCCTGCTCCAGGAAGGTGATGTGCACCGTGGGAATGGAGCAAGATGTAGAGTTTAAAGCAGCTGTTTACTGGCTCTCTCCACTCCCTTCTTTTGCTCTCAGGCTCCCTAAGAAGACTCCACCACAACTCTGGGCTTAATGAGTAGCAGTGATCGAGTTCATACCCCCTGCAAGTGCCATTTCCCTCCAGGAATGTGCCTCTGAAGCTGAGGCCTGCTCAGAGCCTGTTTGCCCTGTGTCTTGAACACTTGTAAAATATCACTTTAATTATAACAGTTGGCAATAAACCCCCAAAGGCTGTTGTCTCCTTTAGGATTCTCTGGGGCCCTCTTCATTTCACTTTTCCACTGGGTTTGCTATCCCGCTGGCAGACCTGTTTTCTTTCCACCAAAGTCTGGTTCTTCCTGTTGAAAGGCCACTTTAGGCACAAACAAGAGGTGAGGGCATTTGGAGGTTATTGGTGGTGTCAGCGGCAAAAACGGCACCAGGTGTTAGACCTCAATTCAGCAAACTCAGTACCCAAGTTCTAGCTGAGAAAGCATTCAGAGCCAAGACTCTAAGAGAAAGTTTATTTAGAAAGTCACTGAGGTAGAAGGAATGAGCCACAGAAGAAGTGGGCTCAGGAAACAAGGCAAAAGAAAGGCCCTTTGAGCTTAGGGGAGAGAGGTAAGGAAAAGGAGCCTGGAGTAAGGGGGTGGGGAAAGGTGCAGCGTGCTCCATAGAGAGCCGAAGCTGGGTCCTCTACCCTAAGGGCTTTTAAGGGTGGGATCTCAATAGGATATACATCGGCTTTCCAGGTGTGTCCTTTCAGGACCGTGGTCTCCGCTGATTGGCCAGTACTAGGGGTCATTAGTCAGTGCAGCTGGTCCTGAGGTCAGCCATGGCATTGCTTATCTGGTTTTGCTGCTTTTCTAGGCCTGCAGCTGAAACACAAATGAGGCCTAGATGTATTTGATGCGGGTCAGAACCTCATTGTCCAGGGGACTTAATGCTTAAGGGCTATTCTCTGGCCCCCTTGTTCGTTCCTCCTCAAAGGGAGTCTAACCCCCATGACTAGTAACAAGCCAGGAGAGGAATAGTCAGGGGAGGGTCCAAACCTCATGACCAGCGATATGCTGGGGGAGGAAAGGTTACCCTGGGGGCAAGGTCCTTGTTTTCCCAGATTTTTCTGTTGCTAGGCACCCAGAGCTTTCTGCCTGTGACCTTCTGTACCTGGCCTGCAGTCCTTGCTCTGCTCATGTCTGCCTAACTGCCTACCACAGTGGCATTGTCCCAGCATAGCTTGGACAGCTCATCCTGGGCAAACATACATGTCCTTGATTACTCATACCCCACAATAAGGAACTAGGATGGGGTGGTGGAGTATATGAGAAATCATCTGGAATGGTTTTAATAACCATAGCAACCAGTGTTTTATATGGACTCGACTCTGCCACTAACTCAGTGTGGCCTTGAGGAAGCAAGTAATTTCCCATCTGTTTCCTCCACTGTAAAATGACAGATAGGGTTGAGCTCAGTAGGCTCTAAGGTTTCTTCCAGGTCTCAAAGCCTCTCGTTTTCCTCCAGAATTCCTGCAGTTTCCAGAACCTCCAGGTAGTGCCTCCTGGCGTAATTGTCTCGAGTCCAGTGTAACAGAACTCACCACACCAAAAACCCAGTGCCTCCTGCAAGGCCTGGAAGTTGGTAGGGAGTGCTTATCAGGCAAAAAGAGCAGAGGCCTAGGTCTGCACCTGTGGCTCCAGGATAGTACCAATCCCAGCATTTTCTCCAGGGCTACTGAACAACCTTACTTCTAACATCCTTTCTGGGAGCAGATTAGATTCTCTCTCAAAGGAGTTTGCCACTCATCTACTTCATCTGTCCTCCACTCTTTCTTTTCTTGGGGTATGTATTCCTGATACCCAAGTGTAGCCTTTGCCTTGCTCATTGCCCCAGGGCTGAGGCATCAGCAAAATGTGAACTTTTCTTCAAATTGTCCCAGAATCCCAAAATCACTCTTTCCCAGATCCTTGTTTCCACTTGGAAGAGAAGTTCAATGCACACACTCTATGGGACATTTATTCCCCTACGAGAAGAGATCTGCTGAGTGGCCTGGGTTCACTGAAGCTGGAAGCCGGAGCACAGCAGGAGAGGGCAAGGATCTCACCTGTAACATCTTGGAACCCAGGGGCAAGGGCACCTATCACAGGCACATGCAATTCCACCTGAACTCCATTAGCTCCTAGGAGCACCTGAAGAAGCGAGGAGGTCCAGGTGCTCAAGAAGACAGGGCGGCCGCACTTTGGCACAACAGGGTAAACGTGCAGATGACAGGTACAAGCCAAGTCACCCAGAAGAGGCCAGGGTCCTTCAAGGAAGTCCTTGAACGAGGCAGCATGAATAAGCTGAGAGGATTCTGGTAGGCAGAGTTTGGGGGTAGGCTAGAAGCATTTGGAAATACAAAAGGCTGACTAGTGCTGCTCTTTTTATTCAAATTGTTTTTTCTACCTAAATGACCTTCCCCTCCACCTTCAAGAGGCTCAAACTGTCCCCTCCAGAAGCCCTCCTTGGCCCTCTTCGCACATGACTCGAAGCCCCTCCTTTGCTTCCCCAGGATCACTTGCCCATCCACAACAACACTGCTGTAATTCTATGTAATCCTTGTGAGACTGTCACCACAGAGCTCAGACCCAAAGCAGTAACACGATCAAACAGTGTAAAAGCTCATTTAAAAATAACTCTGACAGTGTTAAAGTGATACTAGCAGTGCCTCAATGCGTTCCTCCCACACACCCGCAGCCATTCTCTACTTTTGTTCTCTAATTTCTTTTAAAAAACAGTTCTAGCCCATAGGCTTTGGGGAGGGAAGGACTCAGGGTACCCAGGCTGCTGGGCTTCCTTGACCTTGGACTCAGCATCATCCACAAGGACAAGCAGGAAGAATATGGAGAGAGTCACTCAGGGCAACGGGCTTAAGAACATGCACGCTCTTAAAAATCATTTTAGTAGCTTTTAGTGTCCCCCTTCGTTTTAGCTCTAGCTATGCACTTCAACCAATTAAGAGTCTAAGACAGAGGAGAAGTCCAGGCAACGGCTGCTACCAGACAGGCAAGAAGGAACTGAGCGGCATGGGCCCAAGAGCCAGCCCCACCAGAGCATCCTCTGAAGCCGCTCAGAAAAGGAAGGAGGGAGCAGGCAGTGTTCAGCTCTCAGGCTTCAGGTGCCACCTACTGGCAAGAAGGCTTCGTGCAGGGGCTCACTGGTCAAGCAGGGGAAGGTGGCAGCCTAGTCCCAGCTCTGCCCCTAGGAATAGGCCTCCCAGGGAACTGGTGGCATGGGGCCGGGTGGGGTGATCATCCACATATGGACCATAATCGTGAAGAGCGACTCCATGGATACCATTATCACTGAGGTGAAGAAAGGAGTCTGGTATTGTTCTTGGTGACTCTAGAATGGGAATTTTACCAGCACACGAAAGGGTATGAGTCACTATTCATTCTATAACTTTTTACTAATCACCTACTATGTGCCAGGCAATCAACAAGGTCTTCAAGGAGTTTGCATTCTAGTGAAGGAAACAGAGAAAAGAATAAGGCTTAGTTCTTTCAACAATAAAGATAAATTTAAAAAAAAAAAAAAGCAATAAAGCTAAGTACAGGCTGCTGTGAGAGCACTTGGAGAAGCAGAAGGGCCATGTAATCCAGATTTCGGAGTTCAAGGCAGGCTTGCAGAGGAAAGGCTTGTTTTTAACTTAAAAAAAAAATTTAAAAAAAGGAGACCCGAGTGTTAAGAAGGAGTTAACACTGGGGAGGAGTTACAGAGGGTACAGAGTGTACAAAGTCCAAAGGCAAAAATGAGTGTTTCTGGGAACAGAAGTTCTAGGGAGTGTCCAGTACAGGTTGGGGTGATTTTTGGAACCCAAGGATTAAGATGGTGCCTCTGTTAACAAATTTGTCTGGAATACAATGTTGGTTAGACTCAGTCCAAAGGTTATTTTGCCCAGATCTAACATTCCAAAGGTTTGAGGAGTAAGACATGCAAGGCACTTCTTTTCAGACAGCAGCTCCAACTTCATTGTGATGTGGTTTGGTTTATGTTGTTTTACACACCTTTTTGGGTTTTATCTGTGAGGTTCAGATACTTACTTATTTACATAGGGCTTTTGGAATATTATGTATTGAAAAAAATTATCACAACATCTGGAGGTCATAAACCCCTATTAGGGTATGTTTCCAGAAAGATGTTCTAATCATGCCTAGGTCATCCTGTCCCTTTGGCCACGATGGTCAAGGAGGAAGTAGACATTTTCACAGGTAGGAATAATCGAATTATCAGTGAAAATATAAACCAATAGGTTCTAGGTCATTTGGGGCTGGTCTCTTGAGCATGCAAGTCAGTTAGGGCAAAAGAGTACCCAAATTCCATTTGCACTGTGATTTGAGGAGTGAAAGGCACCACACAGGGAGAGGAGTAAAGAGCAGAGGTGAGAAAAAGAAATTCCTGGAGCTTTCCCTTTGGTCTTCAGTGCCTTTCTGAAGGCTACACCTGCCCTTAGGATCCAAAAGTACCCTCACTGGAAAACAGTGTGCAGTTTCAGAAGCTGTATATTTATGTAACATAAACTTTTTCATTTATTTATTGTCTTTTTGTTTTTAGAATGTAAAATTAATGTTGAATCAGAATAAAGGTAAGGGAGAGACTATATGTATGATCCATGCATCTATGCAAGGAAAGTATTTTAAAGTGAAGTTATTTTTTAACTCTCACCCAAGGACATGCTTAAGAGAGACAGAGAAACATTAATCTATTGCCTTCAGCATGTGGCCGACTGGGGATCAAACCCTCAACCTAGGTATGTGCCCTGACCAGGAATTGAACTGGCAACCTTTTGGTGCACAGGATGACACTCAACCAACTGAGCCATTCCAGCCAAAGAAATGTATTTTATTAATAAAACCAGCACTGGCTACATCATGTGCTACCTTAATAATTACTTTAAATAAAAATCAAGATATACTCAACTATTACTATATTAAAATAGTCTCTCAATAGAAAAAAAAGAATTAAGATGGTGGTGATTCACACACACACACACAAATATATGTGTATATGTGTGTGTGTGTGTGTGTGTGTGTGTGTGTGTGTGTGTGTAAAAATAAATATAATACATATGGGCGCCCTAGCCAGTTTTGCTTAGTGGTTAGAGGGTCAGCCTGCAGACTAAAGGGTCCAGGGTTCGATTCTGGCCAAGGGCACATACCTCGGTTGCAGGCTCAATCCCTGGCCCCGGTCAGGGTGCATGCAGGAGGCAACCAGTTGATGTGTCTCTCTCA